ATCAAGGGAAGTAATAGTGCCATTGTATTCTGCTTTGGTCAGGCTCCATATGGAATACTGTGTCCAGTTCTGGGCACACAACTCAAAAAGGCTGTTGAAAAACTGGAGTGTGTCTAGAGTACGGAGACTGAAATGCTTGTCTGGAAACCATGCCCTATGAGGAATGACTGAGGGAACTGGGTTTCTTTAGCCTAGCGAAGAGATGGTTAAGAGGGGATATGATAGCTATTTTTAAATATGAGAAAGGATATCATATCGAGGAAGGCACTAGCTCATTTTCTGCTGCTCCAGAGAATAAGACTCGGAACAACGGATGGAAGTTACAGGAAAAGAGATTTCACCTCAACATTATGAAAAATGTCCTGACAGTGAGAGCTGTTCGACAGTGGAACACATTCCCTCAGAGTGTGGTGGAGTCTCCTTCTTTGGAGGTCTTTAAACAGAGGCTGGATGGCCATCTGTCAGAGGTGGTTTGATTTTGAGTTCCTGCATGGCAGGGGGTTGGACTAGATGGCCCTTGTGGTTTGTTCCAACTCTATGATTCTATGATTCTATGATCCAGAAAAGGCTACACCTGCAATGACCATCCTAATGATGAGGAACTGGACAGTGAAGAAGAAGTGGAGCCAGGTATCCAAGTCCAGGTGAGAAGGTCAGAATGCTCCAATAAAGGTGTGCCACCTGACAGATTCTCTTATCAAGCCACAGAGAAAAAAAATTACAATACCCTCTGATTGGAGAAGATCAAGGGACTGCCAAAGACAGATTCTGAGAAATGGGTGCAAGCAACCACTGAAGAAATGCAATCTTTATATAAAAACATGACATGGACTTTGTCAGAATTTCCAGAAAGAAAAAGGGCAATTGGCTGTAGATTGGTCTTTACCACAAAGCTAGATGCAGAAGTGGAGATTCAAAGATACAAAACAAGATTTGTGGCTAAAGGCTATACTCAGAAGTTTAGTGAAGACTACAACAAAACTTTTGCTAGAGTAGTCACACATACAATGATCAGAACTTTCCTAGCTGTTGCACCTTACAAGAAATGAATGTTCAACATCTGGACATCAAGACAGCTTTTCTTCATGGTCATCTGTCTGAACAACTATATATGGAACAACCTCCAGGATTCCAAATGTCTGGTAAGGAACATCTTGTATGCAAATTACAAAAGAGCATTTATGATTTAAAACAGGCCACCAGCACATGGAGTGAGAAACTTGAATAAGATTCTTATCAAAGAGAGGTTCACTCCAGGCACTGTTGATAGATATGTATACAAGAGATTCAGAAATAATAAATTGATTTACATCACTGGTTATGTTGATGATCTGATCCTATACAGTGAGAACAAAGAATATAGTAAAAAGATAATCCAGAATCTTAAGAAAGAGATATATATCAAGAATTTAGGAGACATCTCACACTATCTTGGAGTGCAAATACAGAACAAGCAGTAATGGAAGTTTCTTCCTGAATCAAAAACAGAAGATACCAGATCTTATGGACTGTCTTGGTCTGAAAAATGCAAATTCTATGCCAACTCTAATGGAAGTAGGATTCTTAAAGAACATTAAGAAATCTGAACCTTTACAAAATGGAGACAAGTATAGGACTGCAGTTGGAAAACTCCTATACATTGTCAATGTCACCAGACCTGGCATAACAAATACTGTTGGCATTCTATGCAAAATGGTCAACTCTCCTACAGAAAGAGATTTTATTGCAGTGAAAAGAGTTGCCAGATATTTAAAAGGAACAGCAAATTACAAACTGATGCTGCCAGCCTATAAACAATGCAGATGCAGAATGGGCTGCAGATCTAGCAGATAGAAAATCAGCCACTGGAAATCTGATATTCTATGATGGAGGAGCTATAATTTGGACAAGTAAAAAAGCAATATACAATAACAGATTCTTCTACTGGCACTGAGTGTGTTTCAGCAAAAGCAGCATGTGACAAAATGAAATGGCTGTGCAACTTACTCATGGACTTTGGGATTACAGAACCCAAACCAACCACTTTGATGCAAGATAATCAGAGCTGCATCAAGATCTCTCAAAGTGAAAAGCCACTCAAGAAACACATTGATATTGCATTTCATAAAGTCCAAGAAATGTGTCAGAATGGACTTGTCCAACTGGAATACTGCAACACTGAAATAATGATTGCAGACATCCTCACTAAACCTCTGCCAAAAGATTGATTCCAGAGACTGTAAAGGAATGAAAAGCCTCAAAGTTAGTCCAAGAGAATGAGAAGGGATTGTTGGAAATTTTATTATTACATTCCCCTTTCCGTCCTAAGATAGGGACTTCCCTCTATGTCATTCCATTTAAACATGTGACTCCTGTCACTCACACTTGGAGGCTGTTTAACAGACTTTCTCTCAGGATTCTAAACTGTCTCCTCTCAGTCTAAGATGGAGTAACAGTCTCCTCTGAGTGAGGTTAACAGTCTCTTCCTGCTATACCAAAACCATCACGAGTTAAGATAGCATTTAGTTTGTTATGTATTTCTTTATTAAAGTCATTATTATTTGTTTTTAAACTATAAACTGCATGTTTGTTGTTTTTTGGAGTAAGTCTTTATTCTTTAGGAAGGCAGATAGAATAAATAGTCTGCCCCACACTTTTGCTGCTCTGCTGATGAAAACTGAACTCTAACAAGTTTAACTTTCATGCTTGCATATTTTTATTTCCATTTAAAAGGATTAAGATCATAGGAAACTCAAATTGCACCCCACACTTTCCAAGGGAGATTAGATTGGGCCAGTTTCTCTTAGACAAGCAGCACTGAGGCATTCATATTCTAGCAGGCTTTTTATGTACTTTAACAATGCAAGCTATGGTTTGATTTTAGAGTTGCAAGTCCAGGACTCGGACCCTCTTTTTCAGTCCTCAGTCTAGAGGATTGGAATGGGGGCTCTCTGTATATTTAATCGTATAAATTTCTCTATGCTTATTTCCCCCTTAAATTATCCCCACTTGCCACATAGAGAAGAAGTAAACAAACAAACAAACAAGCCTTTTAAGCAGCATCCATGGCATCTCCACCCCTGGTGTCACCTGGTGTGGGGAGGGGGGGTCACAGGAGGGCAGTGGTGAGAAAGAGTCAGCATGGTGTAGTGGTTTGACTGTTGGACTAGTATTCTGGAGATCAGGGTTCAATTCCCTGCTTGGCCATGAAACTCACTGGTCACGTGCTCTCAGCCTCAGGGGAAGGTAATGGCAAACCTCCTCTGAACAAGTCTTGCCAAGAAAATATCATAATAGGTCACCTTAGGGTCACTGTAAGTCAGAAATGACTTGAAGGCAGACAACAACAAACAAACAATAATAGTATACAAGAGACCCAGGTTTGAACATTAGATTATGACTCTGGAGAACAGGGCTTGACCCTGGAAACCCACTAGGGACATAGCTACAATTTAGTTAACCACTTTAACTGACATGATGATGTCCTGTGGCATCCTGGTATTTGTAATTTAGCGAGGGACCAAAGCTCTCTGACAGACCAGGAGGAATACCTTAACAGAGTACAAATCTCAGGATGCCTCAGGATTGAGCCATTTCAGTTTAAGTGGTATTAAACTGTTTTGGTTTTGCAGTGTAGCTATACCCTTGATAACCTTGGACAAGTCACAATCTCTTTGTCTCAGACCTCTTTTCTGGCCAAGAAAACCCCATGACAGGTTCACCTTAGGATCAACATAATTTGAAAATGACATGAAGGCACATGGCAGCATAACTACAAAGGTAAACAAAAGTCCTGCACAGATTATGACCTGCATATGCTTACTAGGAAAAGAAAAAGAAAAATCAGCTGCATATTGTGTATCCAACATGACACATAATTATCCTTATGTCATAAAAACTAGCCAAGCCATCTAACACCAGTTCAATGATTTCACTCCAGGATTGGCATTATAGTCTCAGTAGAATGGGATGACAAAGTGTGGCTCCTGGGCTACATATAACCCCCAGGACTGTAGCTATGGGGAGGATGAGAACATTGCCTTTCACCTTAATTCCCCCCCACACACAAAAATCCCTTCAGTCCTAAATTTCTAGCACAGCAGTAACTTAAAACTTCATTTTAGCATTTAGAAATACAGTTTAGGCAAGTGAAAGAAAAAGACAGGCAAAGTTACTAAGGAAATGTGAACACAGCAAATGGAAGAGTTCTAGGTATGAATGAATTTCAGTGTGTCACTTTCTGTAATGCTAGAAATTTTGGGAAAATTTCAAGGTGGAGGCAGATTTTTTATTTGGAAAGGTAATGGCCTCATTTTACCTCTCCTCCCTTTGGCTCCCTCAGATTGTCCAGATTTTCTGAATAAAAAGAAAGTGAACTGCCACTCCTAAAAGGCTCAAGGAGTAGTAATTTTAAATAGTGTGTGCTTCCCCCACCCACCCCTAGCATTGCTCAACTTCAAATATGTTAAATTTTGTTGTGTTAAAACCACATGTGTACTTCTGTCTTCCTATGGTTTGATTCAATTTTGTCTTTTAGTATCTTTGACAGTCTGACACAATATTAAATGACAAATGTCCTTAGTCATCTGATCTCCAAATGCAATGTTTTTGAACTGAAAACATCTTCCAATAGCATACTTCATGGTTTTCAGAAATCTGATGTTAGGAAACTCAGTATTGAAAGGGCCTTGGACAGAGCATAGTCCTAAAGGTAGATTTCAAAAGCACGCTTTCTTTTATGAAGATGAAGACATTATGAAAATAAAGAACAGCAAACAGTTCACATATTTTGAAGAAATGTGTTTGGGCAGTCAAATCCAGGTGCATGTTTATGCAGACATAAGTTCTTTTTTGCAATTTTTTTCCCAAGTAAGTGTGTATAGGAATGCAACATCAACACCTCTTTGATCCATTTTGGATACATTTATTTCACCTGGTCCAAATATTAGTATTTTGAGACCTGCTTATTTTTGTTATTTGTTACTCTGCCTTTCTTTGACTTCTCTGTATCTCAACCTCCAATTTTGCATCTCTAGTGTCAGGAAAATTAATGACCTACTTTGCTGTTCTGAAGATGAATGAGAGCTTTATAAAGCAATTTACTTGCTATAAATGCTGCACAATGATTAACCATGATTATTATTGCAGTAGCGTTCCTTTATAATGTGAATTTGATTGAGAACAGTTGCCTGTGATCGCACAATTTGAAAAACACCTTTTGGAGTTTATTTATTTATTTTATTATTATTATTATTATTATTATTATTATTATTATTATTATTATTTATTATTATTACAGTGCCCCTCAAACATAAGAAAACAGTACTATTATTCTGGAGTCAGTGATCTTTGCCACTTTTCAAAGTTGAAAAATGTAGATTGTTCACTCCAGTTTTACAGACCTTCAATAATCTTTCCTGAGCCCACATCCCTAAGGAGAACACTCCTGTCAAAGCCATCTCTGTTACCAGGCTGTTTGGTTTTTTTCTGTGCTCAAGGACACAGCAATACTGTATATTTTGAAAATCTCTCTCCCTTTTGCCTTCTCTTTGTTGTATAACTTGATGTCACAGCATGCTTTATTTCATTCACACTAGCTGCTTGATATGAGTAGATTAGTAAACTTTTCCCTACATACTTTTATTTTAAGTGTTTCAGATAAAAGCTGATCATACATTTAGTTGTAATCTTCCACGCAGGGATGTGTTTTCCTCTGTTGCATCAACAAATCCAGATGCAGGCAACCTAGTCCTGTTGAGCTGATGGCAACGATTGTCTTCAGTTCTATGGATGTGAATACAAAGATTGAACTCTTTAAAAAAGGCAGAGGAATTATAAATTCTGAAGAGGTATGGCCACTGTTTCTGCCTGTAATAAACAGAGCCTGGAAAAGTTAAGATCTTGTGCTAGAATTCCCACAGTTCTCTAGTCATTCTGGCTAGCAACCAAATTCTGGAAGGGATTCTAGCAACTGTAGTTTAAAAAAGGAACTTCTCTGAGCTCTGCTATTAATTTTCTATTTTTTATGTTTATTTTTGGCAACTATGGACTCTTTCAGAATGGCCTAAAGATGTGTGATATAGCTTCTTGGGGTTTGGTAATTGTTGTAACCTTTGCATCTGCTCATCCCATCCTTTTTGGGGGGACAGGATGTTTGTAGTGATTTCTTGGATCTGAAGTAGGAGTCTTCCAAATGTTGTTTTAAGTTATGAATATGAGAGGAGGAGGAGGAGGAGGAGGAGGCAGGCCTAGGCCCAGAAGAAGATGAAATGGCTAGCCTTCATCCCAACTGCCAATGCCCTAGCCTCAGAGAGAGAGAAGAAGAGGCAGGCTCAGCTATATCATGCCTAAGCCCAGAAGCAGATGAAAGGTCCTCCATATCCCAACTGCCACTGTCCTGGCCTTGGAGGAAGAGAACATAAGTAGGCACAATTGCATCATGCCTAGGCTCAGAAGTGGATGAATGCCCCTCCCTCCATCTCAGCTGCCTTTTCCTTGACCTTAGAGAGAGAGAAAAGACAGTATGTACCAGACTTAGGGCCTCGGCAGACGGCTAATAGAGCCGTCCTCGAGGCAAGGAAGAGGAGGGGCAGCCGCATGCTCGGTGCCCCTTCCTCCTCCCGAGGTTGCCCTCGGAGCTGCCGGCCCTCCGCACAGCCGGCGCTCCGGGGGCAACCTCCCGCCACAGCGTCCAGACATGCTGCGGCTGAAAAGTCAGTGAAAGTGCGCTGCAAGCTTTTGCGGCGCACTTTCACTGACTTGTGAAAGGAGCGCTATTTTAGCGCTCCTTTCAGGGACGGGGAAGGAGCGCCACAGGATCGAGACGTGGGGATGCCTCAGTCCTGCGGCGCACTTTCCCAGGGCGGCCCCGTGCCGCCAGTCTGCTTCCCCCCTACATCTCCTTTCCCACTGCCATCCCCTTTTCCTTGTCTGCCCTGTCTTATTTAGATTGTAAGCCTGAGAACAGGGAACTGTCACATTAACAATTTGTGGCTAAAGAGTGGCATATAAATACTCTAAATAAATAAATGTCCCTAGCTTCCAGTTAATACAAAATAAGCTTTCTGTAAAATGTGACATTCCTGAGCATTCAATAGTATTCCCCTTGAGAAAGTATATTTACTAATACCTGGCAAAACTAACTCTGAACATTTCTTGCCTAAGAAAATTCTATGAAATTCTTGGGATCATCATAGGCTTGACAGGTAACTTGAGGGCACATACACACAGAGAGGCATGGTTTTCTGGGCAGATCCTATAGTATAAAAGGCAAATTTTCTCCTTTCTGATTTTTTTAGTAGATTTATATATATTTGTAGAATCGTAGACTTACAGTGCAACAATGTAATTTCACTGATGCACTATAGTAGTTGTCAGGATTCTGTTTCTCACAGGAATCTGACCATCAAGGTGATGCATGGGGGGGGAGGGTTAATCAAAGGGAATGGCAGATAGGCATTGTAAATAGTAGCTGGGACATTGGGACAGGTTTATGACTGGGATGAGAGTTTGCCTTCCAATCCCAGGAGATGAAAGGAAATGGACCTGGAAGAACTAAACTTCAAAAATCCTTTGATACAGACAAACGGACTACTGGGGAGAGGGAAAAGGAGGTTTGGACAGAGGACTTTAAAGTACTGGTTTGGTGGGAAATATTCAGTGTTGTTTCTAAAAGGATTGCTGTGGTGAAGTGTCTTGATTCTGGAATAAAGCTATAGTGAATTTACGCTTAAAGATATTTTACTGGTTCTTCAAGTTTCTGGCTACCAAGCATGGCAGCAGTATCTCTAAACAAACAATTTAAGAGAGGAGATCTTCCATGTTGCAATCTTCCAAGTGGGAATGTGTTTTCCCCAGTGATGGGTACTCAACAAGTGCACCACAACCACCCCAACTGTGGGTTTGCTATTTGTGAATTTGAGCATCCCCCACAACAACCCCTATTGACTTCAATGGCTGTGCATGCACATGGTCCTGGTAGAGCAGGCATGTACCACCATTGAATACCGCAGAACTTGAGGTCCCACAGTTTTTGCCACCCATGGGGGATTTCAGAACCAAATCCCCATGGTAAGAAGGGCCCACTGTGCTTGGTAAATCAACACTTATAGAAGTTCAATTGGATCCATAGTTGTACTTTAGGGGACTAGCAACTGGATTTAACCCAACTAGTTTTGAGTTACAGCCCAGAAGACACATAGCTAATT